ACTTCATATGAAAATAACCTTCAGGAAAGATTTTATATAGCAGTATTGCATATATTGCAGAAAAAAAATGTAGTCTCATCATAGAATATAAGAAACAGTTTTCAATTAATTCTACAATGTAACTTACTAAAAGAGCATAATTTAAAGAGGTAAAGGAAAACATCAGGTATTCAATTTAGAATGCTCTTCAGAAACCATTGACTTTCCATCCTTTTTTCCTTTAAAAAAAGTAAACATTTTTACATGCAAAATAAAAAGTTGCCTACTTATGAGGTAATTTGTTCCTCTTGCTCCTGTGTTCCTCCTGAAATCCAGATGCATCATCACATTATTTTATTTTCAAAACCAGTTTCAATTTAATATTTCTACTTAATCGCAATTTGTGCGTTTTTTCTTCATTACATGAATAAAGGGAAAAACATCTTCCATATTTACCTTTTCCCCTCCAACTACCTTCTCCAGAAGCTCATTCAGTAGAAACACAAAATTCTTTGACACACGAAAGGGAGATGGGTACGATACGCTTGTATTGTTTGGAGAGAAAGTTCCTATAGATACAAAGCGGTTACTCTAAAATCTTTATTAAGGGAAGTGTGAAATCAATATACAAACAAGGTACCTAAGCTTTCTACATAGCCTCAGAGTGGAAGAGGAAGGCACCGAACCTAACGCTCTGACTTGCTTGGTGGAGGCTGTCTAGGACGCCTTCAGTCTGACTGCATCAATGTACTTCATAGGCTGTAACGGTTTTGAAACTACAGAAAGCCCCGTAATACTGTACCACCAAATGAAACAAAACGATGGTATTTCTGTGCACTCAGCCTCTTTTGCAAGAAGCTGTGAACACTGCTACCAATGTGGATGGCAAAGCACGTTGTTTTCACCTTTAATTAATTTTCTTTGAATTGCCGACATTACAAAAGAAAGGAGAAATAGCTCTGGGTACCCCGTGCGGCAGAACCGTAAGGAAATCCAGATCTTCTCAAGCGTAGCTTACGAGTTTAGTTTGGGAAGAACTTCAGCACCTAGCCAGCCTGTGCAGGAGGAACAAAGCTCTCCCAGACTGGTACCAATTTCTATTAACTTTGCAACAAACCCCGCACACCGCTCGTGTTCTAGCTTTCTCCAAATTTGCCTTTCTGTTAGCTTGCTTTTTTAGCTGGCTACATCTACTCTCTGAAAATAAATGTGACTACAAACATATTGAATAACAGAATCGAACACTCATTCCATTTTCTGTTATCTACTTACATTTTATTACAGACTAATATGAATCCATCTCATATTCACACTGGAATTATTTTAATTACTCGTGAGCAAACTTAAACCAGTCTTGAATGTTTATATTTTTATTGCAAGCAGATTCATGTCTCCTGCTTATATATTCTACATAAGGATCCAAAATGTGACTGAATATAAACAAGTTCTATTTGGTTATCTACAGAAATAAAAGTTAAAAATAGCACTGAAAAGAAACTTTACAGTAATGTATTCACACACTGACTCTTCAAATCAAATAAATGAACTGGTATAGGATAATCTAAACATTAGATTTGAAGGCTGATTTATTTCCAAATAAATGCACCTATAATTGTACAATTAAAAATAAGTGTCAGTATTTGGTGCTGATGACTACAGACATCTTTAATGTTTAATGCACAGATAACTACCCCCCAGCCCCCATACAGCAACTTTCGCAGATTCTACTTTACATTAGATCATGAAAGGACATTTAAAATGCAATGTGTACACAGCACAGAATTTATGTTAGAGACAACGCAGATTAAACTTCTGTGAATTTTTGTAAGGTAAAAAATTAAAGCTATATAAACTGATATTTAGGTTATTCTGCAAAGTAGAATCACGTACTTTTTCACTTTCATAATACTTTCACAAATTTCCATTAAAGCTTTTTTAACAGAGACAGTAGCATGAGCACATTGATCCCACTGGCTTCCAAAAGAAAAGTAGTGCAGTTGCTCAATTAAGCTGTTTTTTTCCTTTTGTATTTGCAAGCCAGTTGGGTCAAGACAAACAGGCTAATGCAAGCAAGAAAGTAAACTGTAAGCTTTTACATTAAGTGGCTGAACAAACAATTATTGTACATGGTAAAACAAAAAAGATCTTTTGCCACAAGCCACTGCAGGAATATATGAACTTCAGTGGCCGAAAAGCTTGAAATACTTTCGAAGTCTTCACATACATTTGGTTAGCGCTTACCAGTTTCAAGACAGTTATAGAAGCAGTTATGGAGACACTATGCTGTTAAAGCTGCAACAATTTAAACAAGGCAAGTTAGGAAGTTATATAGATTTTTATACTTTTCCCTGTTAATGCTTTTTTTTTTTTAAAATACATAAATATCTGTCTCTCTTCAGTGTCCCATCCATAATAAAACATTCTAATTCATTTTGGTCTAACTTCTACTTTTTCGTCTTTGTATTGTCTGATCCATTTGCGATGAAACTCCAAGGTAACACCTGCTGCAGTGGACTAGGTTTGCGTGGCAATAGTGACAGGGACTGAAGCAAAAGCACATCAAGTGAAACCGAGTTGGTTGATGTTATATGTTTTTTCCATTGAACAGTCTATTTTAACAAACAAACAGTACCAACTCTTACAGGTAAAAGTATTGCTAAATCAAAGCAGAAACTTCCACTTACATTCAAGCATTCTTTCTCCTCCAAAAAAATGACATGTTTAATTAAAATTTCCCAAGCACTTATATAGGTCTTTCAGCCTGAATCACATTGTCAGGAATTTCTAAGTGCTGGGCAACATGAAGTTCGCAATGAACTGCTTTGTTAGTAGGCAGAACAGGAATGCAGCATTTTCAAAAACATCAAGCAAAAATCTCCTTATTTAAGGCTAAAAGATGGAACTCAGAAAAGTAAAAAAAGCAGGAGGCTTTATAGAGTAAAAAAGCTAGCAGTAATAGTATAAGCACTGAAAGTACAGTGCTCTAATCACCACTATCACAAATACCAACAAAACATCAATAGTTTAGGTGAGACTGACAGAGCAATAGACCTGTATTTCTAATTTGACATTCATTAGAATTTTAACATTCAGCCACAACTCCCCTCTAAGCTAAATTTAAGTGGCCAAAACTCATAGGTATAAAAAAAAGCCTTCAAAACATATACTTAAAAAAAAATAGAAATGGTGTGTTAACAAATGTATGCGTAAAACAGATTTATAAATAGCTACAGTATGAAAAATATTTCAGTGCAAAGGCAATTTTAAGATTTCTAAAAAATACGTTACAAATAATTTGTTAACTACACACAAGAAATTTGTCACTGCTACTGGTATAAAATCTATACCCATATTAACTTCTTAAAAATATATACACCAGTGTTTTATGTAGGGGACGGTTATAACTGACCAACATTCAAGTCTGTGACAACAAGTATATGTACACACACCCACACACGTATGTATTTCAAAATGTTACACTATGAGGACATTTTTTGAAAATTAAAAGTGCTACATGCTAAATGGTAAAAATATCTTCATCTGTGGTGCTCACCACTAGACTTTTTAAAATTCTCTTATCTTTGGTATAGTGAAAATTTCACAAGTCGCTTTACAATCTCTGCTTGTCCCAGGGCCTTTTAATAATATTTCACTGTTTGTTTAATGTGAAAGTAATTCAGAATAGTGTGAGGAACATTTCCTAGTAAGTTGATTTTTCTTTTATTAAAGAGTAAATTTGTAAGTAAACTCTTTTGCCTCTGTGTTGTTTTTTTTTTTTTTTTTTTTTTTTAAAAACACAAAAAGGGAAAAAATTTTTCTCTGCCACCTTAGTCCATCTGAAAGTCAACTAACAATGTCTTGGCCAAGTCTTCTAATAAAGGCTGCAGCTCTGATTGCAAATATTTTGTTTTCACATTGAAATAAATTTTTAGCTAATGTCCTCCCAGAGGTATTTAATGACTATGGTTATTAACCAGTTCTAACTACCAGGCTGAAATGGACTGAAGTCAGGTTACTCCTTCAGATATTTTTGCACCCCAAAATAAAACACTGGACTAAAGAAACAAGACAAGGACACAGCTAATAGCTGAATTAGTGCAAGGTAACATAAATGTAGCAGAGAAAACAGAAGTGCAAGTTGGCTGTCATTCTTAAAGGAATTTAAAACAGAATCCTTGCAGTCAAACTAGTTTCTATACCGCAACTACGGTTCAACTGTTAGTAAACAGCCGTGTGCCACCTTGTGGTTTGCTTGCAAAAGTTAACAGTTGTGTGCTTTGTAATACATCTACCAAGCTGATTAACCAGTATTTAACCATACACACACACAAAAAAAAAAATCAAAATGAAGACGATGAATCCAGATAGTAAAAGATGCTTATTTGGAAAAAAAGCCTTTCTTCTTTTAAGGAAAAAAAAAAATGTGTCAAAAAAAGCTTAATATATATAATACTTTCTGCTATGCATATTTTACAATCACAGGGACAGGAAGTGGGAACACCAGGTAATCTGCATCTTTGACAAATTCCCAAAGACCTTTTAGGCAAAATGCTTACATTCTGTTTCTGAGTAGATTTCAACATCAATTATATTTACCTATTTAACAGCCAACTTGACTCCATATAGTGTGTACATACTCTACCAAAGGATTGTTTTGCCTATCTGTCTACAGGAGAAAACTAACTGAAAACCAGACATAGCCCTGATTTGGCCACTTACAAGGAAGTGAACATTAGAGAGTGTTTCTTGAAAGCAGATTTGCACAGAGGAAACACCAGTTTGTTCTACAGAAAGAGCAAAGAAAGAAAAAGGACACAGGAAAATGAGAAACAGCACTTGTTAAATACTCTGTAGAAGACTTTCATTGGAGATAACTGAGGTCATTGCTTCTGGCTGAAAAGTAAAACTGTTGATCTCAAAATTTAGGTCACTGACTGAAACAATATACTTCAAGTAACAAAGAAAATGACTAAAGATGACAGAAGCAGTAAATGCACAAAAGTCTTGACACAGGATGAAGAGAGTTTTTAGTGCTACCCGTCTCACAGTACCAGACTGTGAAGATTGTTCATTGCTCCAGTAGTTCAAAACATAAAAAGAAGCCTATTGGCCTGGAAGGGTTCATACTTCTAGCTCTTGATCCTGTTTGTCTGAACATTACCTCAGACAGCAAAAGCCACGTACAGTTTAATATATTTCTGTGACATGTTTGTTTCCTGAAAAAAGAAATAAACAAAAATACAGTTTTTAAAGGCTTGACTTGGTGTTCTGTCATACAGACGTTTCCAAACCTGACCCACTGTAGCAGTAGCCTGCACTGGAACGGCAATACTTATTTGAATAGCCAAAGACAGATGGAAGTACTGAATAATCAACACCTCTCCAGTGCGTAAACATCATTTTTTTAGAATGAGAATTAGACCTTCTTGCTGGGGAATTGCTGCAGTCACTGCTCCTGTATCTTGGGCTTTTCAGACAGGCAAGAGGTGTGAATTCTGAGATGTGCTCCCGACAGTGCCTCGAAGCATTCTGTTAAAAGGAAAAAAACACCAAATACACAGTAAATACATGATTTTGGAGCTAAAAGTCTACTATTGTGTTCTTTCATAGGGCCATTGTGCCCTTCGGATAATAATGCCTTTCACTAGATCACCACTCTGGCTATTTGTTTCATGTAAAGGTATAACCCCTCATGTTCTTGAGTGATCAACCACTTCCACATGATTAGTTTTACATTAAGACCTACAGAACGAGGCATAATTTTACATATAATCTCTAAATCTGATAATAGGCTCTTCAGAGAACAGATGGGGACACAGAGGACTGCTTTCAAGTTGAATTGTTTTAAATCAGGTTTATATTTCATTTTGCAATCTCTCCTGATACATCTTTTTATCTCTGAACTTTTTTAGTCAGGATATTCTATGGGGAATTTTAAGACAGAATAGATTCAAGTACTTTGCCCTGTACTTCCAAAGAGAGGGAATTCTTTACAGATGGTTTGTGCTAATAGATGAAAGTTCCAGAGGTTTAATTCACTTGCTTTGTACTTAAGCAGTACCTGATTTTGGACTTGCTTAGGTTACATGTAGCACCTATACAGATAATTTATACTATCTTGGTCTAATTGTTCATTAAAATTTATCTGTACCACATAATCACTCCACACTGGCAGTATCAGCACTTCCACTCAGGAAATACTCAGGACTACCGTAACACCACAGTGGCATGACAAGAACCTGGAAGACGTGCACAAACTAAAAGAAAATTAGCACAGCACTTTCCCCAATGAGTTTATCTCATTCTTCTTGCTAAATGCACATATAATTTCCAGGTATGGAGGTTATGTGCCAGTACTTAAGATATAAATTTATTATAAGCATGATTCAAATCAATGTTATAAATTACCCTCTCCATGAATACTACATGAACCAGTTAATCCTTTATTCTTAATCATCCCCTTCCTCCTTCTCTGTTAACATAAACAGAGTAGCAAAAGGGATGAAATCACAAAATAAATATTAATGATGGAGCTTATAGAAGTTTGACTAAGATTTAGTATTACACTTTTAATGCCAATCACAAGCTTGAAACACTACTCTTGCATAACCAAAAGCAATCAGAAAGCTCTCTTACAACAGTTACTCTTGGAAAAGTCAGCAAACTATACCAAACTGCTCACTAACAGTGAGGCCTGGATTCTTTTAAACACACATATAGACCAAATACCAACATTAATACAGGAAAACATAGATAATCGGATAACAGATTAATACACTTTGGTTTGGAAATGTTGAAGGGAGTAGTCAAACACTGTATGGTAACTATTTCTCCTATTCTTCCAGCTAGAAAGTGAAGTATTTTAGTTACTGTACATATTTCTAAAAATAAAATAATTTTTTTCCACACATAGCTCCGAGGCAAGTGCTTTCAATCTGCCATGCCTGAACCTACTCAAGAAAGCTGGGGTTTTCTACTACTACTTGTCTAGCAGTCATTGGAAGTAAATCAAAAGCACCCCTCAACTACCTTTAAGCCCTACAGCCCACACCAGCACATGACATTGCATTTGCCCTCTTCACATACTGGTACTCTGCACCTTCACTTAGTTCCTCGTGCTGCTTTGGGGGTCAGGAGAGCATGAAGGGACTGGAGCAGACAATGGCATCCAGGTGAGAATGTATCTGAGTAAAAAGTGTACCTTCTTGTTTATACATGTTAGTGGTATGGCAAGGAGATGATGTAAAGCAGAGAACTTCATTCGGCTGCCCTAATGTTTTGAGGATTTAGGAGCTCACCACTCATGCTGCTGTCTCAGGTATTTGGCAAGACTACCACACTTCTCTCGATCTGAGGCAGTGATGCACGGGTCTATACAGAACACATTGCTATGGTAAATACTGTCAAATATACAGCCCCAGTCTCCTGATCCAAGGTCATATTCACAAGTAACTAGCTTCCTTTTGCGTGATTATCTTCCTGTTTTACCATCTGCATTTGGTCTATATATGTATTCAAGAGCACGAGAGATGATGGATAAACTGCTAACGTGCAAGAATTACTTCTGACTTTACGTATTCAACACCATGGTGTAATGTGAGCACACTCTGCAATAACAACTGCAGTTCTTATAGAAGAAATGTCACACAACACCTATACAGAACACAATGTATTTATAGGGCTTTAACGTGGGTATATTGATTCATTGTTTTGCCTTGCACGAGTAAGTGTCTGAGACAAAAAGATCTTACCTGTGGCATGGAACATCTCTTGCAAAAACTAGGCTCTCCAAGTAAAACATAATGATTTTGTATCAATATTGATACAGTACATCAAAAACTCTGGAGGAAACAGTTGGTTTGTAAATAGCACAGTTCACCAATAGAAATTAATCCAAATTGGCAACACGTACAGTACTGTTACCTAGCTTTGATCTAATTATGGCTCGGAAGCTGAAAGATTTCCTTCAAGAAGTGGCCCATCGCTGTTCGCCAGTGCATTTAGGGCTGTTTTATGTTTCATACTCTTCTGCAAGGATGAGGAAAAACAGTGAGACTCTTGCTGAATACAAGAGGGAAATGTGAATGAATTGTACCGTTTGGTACAAACGTAACTATTATGGCAAAGTCCTGTAAAAGTGACAGATTTTCTGATAGATTTAAAAAGGAAAGGTTATCCAGTATAAAACAAGGTTTCTATTTCATGATCCTGAGGTTAATCCTTTGAGCCACTCTGAGGGTGTTTTAAATTCCATTTCAAACTCTGTTAAAAATACTTAATTACTCTCAAAAGCACTTAAACTGTATCATGACTAAGTACTGTGGGCTGTGTGTCCTGCCCTTCTGATAATAACCTGTACTGAATGCGAGAGGTCCCCGTGATACGATGAGGCCAGATCGATTCCATATTAAGGAGCGGATGTCCCGCTTCACTACTCCCCAGAACAACTGGTACACTGAAGGGAGCGCTACAAATGGAGGTGATGGGGCCAGTGCTAATGAAGGCTGACTTACAGCTTAGTCATTATGCCATAGGGAGAGAGGGCAGGGGAGTGACCAAGGTAACTTTTTCCATGGGATTCAAATATTGCAACAGCCAGCTCCTTTTCTTTGTTTTCCACAGAAGAGGAGCCCACCACATGACAAAGGCGAGTGTGCTGGTGACTATTTTTCTAAGAGCACTAAGCAGTTGTTCAACAGCAGCTAAGCCCATTGAGGAACAGCAGAATCATCATCATCCCCCGAGAGGCTTCCCCAGGCAAAAGTACCACGTTGGGTTTCCCCAAGTGCAGCAAAGGGTAGAGATCTCATAATGAGGCTGATGGGCCAATCTTGTGACTGAAGTGGAAGTGAAGTAAAAAACCATCAGTCAGAAGTGAAGAGAAAAAGAAAAATATATCTTAAAAAGGGATGAAAGCACAGAAGTTATTTACAGCTCAGAATCAAAACACCTAGCATTTCAGCTACAAAATATTTGGGATTGCTGAAACACTGCCATTTGAAGAGACAATTATAAAAATGAAAAGAGGACAATTTAAAGTGAATTTATATTTTCCTTAACAGAGCTTCTGCTATTAATGAAAGAAGAATAAAGAAAAAGGAAATAATCGGTTTGTGTAGACTGGATATATTAAAAAAAAAAAAACCCTTTTGCTTTTTAGAAGTAAAGGCTAAAAGAAACCTCACAGCTGCACAATTTCCAGTTAAAGCACAAAATTCAGCTTGTTTCATTGAGCCAAAGAGACTTGGACATGTATAAGACATGAGCAGATTTTGACCGAAATTACCAAAAGACAACAGATTCCTCCAAAGCTTTTGCAGAATTGTTTTAGCCCAAGAAAGACAACAGTTCACGCATGTGTGTAACAGATACATAAATATACACGCGCATATATATACATATACTTGTATGTACATATATGTATGTGTATGCACACATACGCACACGCGTGTGTGTGTATATATCTCTCTCTCACTGAAAAGCACTCTCAAAAAAACCCAGAACTAAATCTGGAATGTTTAAAAACCTCTGAATTATAATGATGGTAAACAACCACCCACCACACATGGGAGCGACTTAAATAATTGCAAAATTTAGAAGGAGAAGAATTGCTTCAAAGGCTTCATGCGATCTTATTGCTTACGGAGAACTAATTTAGCCACCTGGGAGGTGGCTGCTAGTCCTATGTTAAATCTTTTCAACTGTTCCAGAAGCCCTTTTATTATAAAGAAAGCAATATAGCTTATAGGAATGCAGTTAAGTTTAAAAATAATTTGTTAAAAGCTCAGTTCAAACCAATCCTAAGGCACTTAAAAGCCAATTTTAGCCAGAATTTTCAATAGTGAAAAAAACTTTGTGTATTTTCCCTGTGGCTTACATAATTGCAGTCATTTTTTATTGACTGTACATTTTTGAAAGGGGAAAGAAAGAGGAAATGTATTTTTTATCTTAACCAGTTAAGAAATAAAGATACAAAATCTGCAATGGAAACCAACAGTTTCTAGTATTAAGTCAAAAGGAGTTTTCTTGCAGACTGCAGGGAAGCCAAGATTTACTAGCATTTCTTCCACTTTTAAATTAAATGGCATATGCTTCTGGATCTTGAACTGTTTTCTTTCTAGGAAGAGCACAGAATTTCATAAAATGGAGTATAAAGAAAGCTCAGTTTCAACATGCATGCTGGAAATAACTTATTAATAAAAAAAAGCTGGATTTTCTTCTATCACAGCAGAGCAGATATCTTAATGTATTCCAAAGATTGCTTAAATGGCTTCCAGTACCACATTTACTATATTACACTTGTAACATCAGCATAATCAGAATTATCACTTGTGTGGCAACTATTCCACTTACTCAGGTACAATGCAAGCATGACATGCATTCACCTACAGATAGACCAATGATTAAAATGAGGATCTAAGATATCGAGGCAGAAACATTATGTAAAATTCAGTAACAACGGTGACAAAAGTGATATTGATAGTGACAGATTGTGACAACAATTCACAGAATCTTTGAGATAAACAAACAGAAGAAGGAAAAAACTATACTAACAAGTATTTTTCTTCAAAATATAGTTTATGTGAATCAGAAATGGAGATAATGAGTACGGTAAATAACTTCTGATGATAAACTTTTTACTGTCCTTTGAATGAAATGGCCAAGCATGCAGAAAGGCAGAAAAAAGTCACCTTTTGTTCCATTAGAAACTTAGACTGCTTGAAGTCTGAGAAAGCATAAAGATGGTGGACTGCTCAACAGAAAGGCACTGATGTTTAGTCTGATTTCCCCAGAAGATTGTAGGAAGTAACCGTGCACATCATTTATGTTTAAAGCAAGGTAGCAGTTATTTAGACAAAGTGGATTGGAAGACAGGAAGAAACAGAGAGAGGGAAGAAGAAACACAAGGGATATATCTGGTTAAAAGTCAAAGATTTTCTGCTAAATATTAAAAAAAAAGAGTATTGCCAGTGTTAAGCCCCAAGTCAGCTTTACAATTGATTAATTTTCCAGCACTAACATACAATGTCTGTAAGAAATGCAGTAATACCTTTGTTTGGGGCTTTTGTTTGCTAGCTTGTTTCTCTGCATTAACCCATCCACATTCTCTCTTTAGACTTTTAAATTAAGCACGTAGAACCTATATTGATATCAATTTCTTCCACAAGTAGCATATATGGCAAAGAGACATCTATTAAACACCTTGAAATAGAAAGATGCTAAATGCTGATCTGCCTGGGAATGCTTTTCTGCTATTCTTTATCCTTTCTGGTCCTCCTGAAGTGTGCCATTTTCACAACTGTACATCAAATACAAAACAATGGCAAGGGGTTTTACTTTGCAGATATGAGAGAAGAATTTTTTTACCTTTGCCAAAAGGGAAATTTTACTTTCCTGGGAAGTAAAGTTCCTTTATTCCTTTCCTCTTAATGCAAAGTATCTTCTCAAATAAACATCAAAACACTAACTAACTGCTACACGCACAGTCACTGGTAACTCATTATTTTAACCTAACAGTGGCAGTTGATGGGCTGAAAAAGGCAAGCACAATAACATTAAGTTTCAGGTTTAACATCCCTACTGTCCTTCACCTTCTAACATGTATAATATGTGTAAGTTTTTTGGGGTCAAAAATACATGTAAAATTTTCAGCTGCGGTTGGTTTTTTGGCCCTAGAATAGTACCATGTGTCCCACAGAACCTGACTTCCCTTTCAGCCTCATCAGAGTAAGTCTTTATCTACACAATAGTTTATCCTGTTGGGCTTATCACAAGAGAGGTGCCAATAGATTTTAACATAGTCTTCCCATTGGCACAGCAAGGCACATTTACATAGAGATAACGTATGAAAACAGGCAAAATGTGAGTTGAAATATAAAAGAGGAAAAAGTTATTATTAGAATATGAGTAAGTTTTAATACATGTCTTCTTGTAACAGACAGCGACAGTACAAAATAGTCTGCTAAGGAAGTATTGTATTGCACAGATCATGCAATATAAATGTTGGCATGAATTTACTACATATTCCTTACCAACATACTATATATTCATCAAGTTTATTTTAAGTGTCTAAATTCTAGATTTATTCAATATAAAACACACATGCAGTTGTAGAGTCCCGTGGTATAGGATTGCAACTGCTTGTGCAAATCCCTGCTTTAAAGGGGATTTCAATAAAATCACATGCTCCCTTCCTACTGGTTTTATTTTGAGTTTAACTTATTTCAGCTGGTTTTCCATTTCAGATAACTATGCTCAGCTTGCATGGTAAATGCTAAAATGTCCACTTTAGAGTTTCATTTATGCAGTAGAATGACTTGGTATGAAAGATAATTACTTCAATTCAGAGGTGTGGGCAGTGCCTCTGAATACTCCACAACAGCAGGAACAACGGCTGTCCAGGCCGCTGTAAGTGCCTCCTACCTACCCTCACCAAGATCCCAATCCCCTTACCCTTCTTATCTCCTCAAGTCAGGAATCATGTTGAGCCATACACCTGTCTCCCACTACCCTCATCAGCTGATTTCCCCATGGTTGCTGGTACAGAGGCACAGGGGTTGCCCCAGGGAGCTTCTTTCACCATACTGCCCAGCGATATACACCACAGATGAGGAACCTCTGTTCTAATCTTGTCTCTAAGCTTGAAAGAGGTCTAATTATTAAAGAGACTTGTGATACAAAAGACTAATTCCACAATGAAAAATATTGTTACCTGGATTCTTTCTGTTGCTGTAGGCCACAACTGTCTGCATAAGACCTTCTTGAGAACATCTGGAAGAAGGCTGACAGTTATGAGCAGAATTATACCCAGCCACGCAGGACCACTAGACAGCATTTGCATGAACACATAATACATCCTCTGATAATTGAGAAAAGGCCTAGTAGGAAAAAGATTAAATAGATATTACACTTCAGTATGCAAAAGAAAGATGGCAATGTTAAATATAAAAATTATGACACTGATGAAATATTGCATGTTCAGCTCCCCCATTTGTGGGAGTTCATCCATCCCAGTTTTCTCAAAAGGAGATCTAAACGTTCACTGACTAGAGAGAAATGCCTTACTTCTGTCTTCCATGCTGTAGGAAACACCATGCTATCCTCCCACCCAAGCTGCCTCTCCCTTGCAAAGATAAACTAAGTTA